GTGAGTGTGATATAGGGTGTGTGTGTGTGTGTGTGTGTGTGTGTGATTGATTACAGCTGTGTGCAATCAGTGCAATGGATGATGGGAAATGTAGTCCGTGGTGACGTGTAACAGTCTGTGTTACTGTGGCGATCGGACGGAAGTCCATGGACAGGATTCGTACCAATATGTCACCTTTAATAAAAAAATATATATATATGTTATACAGCAAAAAGACACATGTGCCATGACTTGAAGGTGGACATTTTTACAATTAAACTAAATGTAACTAAAATGTAACTTATCGATCAGACAACATTGAGGATCTACTTTAGTAGACTGTGTCCAACAGGTGGTTTTCAGGCAAGTTTTGTTAACACTGATTATTTTATAAGCCTTAGAAATGTGCATAGTCCTATCCTATATCAAATATGCAGAAGGCCTCTTGTCGAGAACCACTGAAAGAAACACATGCAAGCTCAGGTGCACACAAATACACACGAACCATTCTCTGAAAACGGTGCTGGGTGAGTTCCCATAAATCACAGATAATAAACAGGATACTGAAGTATCACATGTACAGTATTTTATTATTTTCAGTGAAAGTTGACCCAAAATCGAAAATGAGAATTCCATCTAAAACACAAAAGGTCTTCTGAACAGTAAGATAACTGACTCCACTGGAAATCTTTTTTTTTTATATTGTATGGTAAAGAGCAGCCTGGACATTCTACTAACTTCTTTTGTGTTCCAGAGAACAAAGAAGTTAATAATATGCGGTCACATCTGTGCAATTAGTAGCATTTTACAATGGCTTTGAACGTGGCTCATCAGAATTTAGCCTCAGTATTATAATCTTTCACTGGCATGTTATAGGCCGTTTGGTTCAATGTAAAATTCAGATCAGTGGCTGTACTGTGTGTGCACAGGCCTATGGTTCAGTTTTCTTCTCAGAACTTGTAATCTCTCTGGCACCGTTTCCCCACAGGTGTTGATCCCGTTCACCTTCTGCATGCGTAGCCCCCTTTGCCCACTCCTGTCCTGACTCCCACGGGGCAGGGATGATGTCAGCACATGGGAGGTATGCACTATACTTCACTTTAGAGAATTAAAATGTGTTTGTGAATGTGTGTTTGCAGGTGTTCCTAATCGAGTGCATTGGACCACTTGTCATATATCTGCTGTTTTATTTTCGACTGCCTTTAATCTACGCTCCCAAGTACGAGTTCACCGCCAGTAAGCATTTGGTTGTGCAGTAAGTATCATGAAGAAGAGTGCCGTCACATATTTAGTCTGTTGGATTCAGTCCAGACAGTGGGAACGGTGTCTCCTAACAGCTGACCTACTGGTTAACCAAGATACTGGCCCAGAAGTGTATTTTGGGAATTATGTTGAAAAGCATTTGATTGATGGGTCTCAGGAATACACTTTTATTTGATGATCTGGTATTAAACTGAACTCGCTGAACTGAGCTTCTGTCTGTTCTCCACAGTATCGCCTGTGTGTGTCATTCCTTCCACTACATGAAGCGAATCTTGGAGACGTTGTTTGTCCATCGCTTCTCCCACGGCACCATGCCATTTCGCAACATTTTTAAAGTGAGGATGCCTCGCAAATGTGTGCTTTTTTTTGGGTGTAATTTATATTTATATACATCCCAGAAGGCAGCAGTGTGTGACTGATACATGTTAGGATTTATTTCGTTTTTTAGCAAGTTCAGTTATGAAATAATAATAAAAAAAAGATTGTATGTTGGTTGGAGCTTTGAGGTCATCTATACTCCTAAATGTGAAAAATAAACAGCAAGCAGACATAATTTCAAATGCAGACCTTCACGTCCAGGAAAACAATCAAAGAATATCGATGACTCCTAGACAATATTTTTTGCAAATAAATGATATTCATGGCTGTTGATGCATGTTTAATTAAAAAATGCATCAAGAGAGGAAAGAACAACACTCATTCAACAGTGTTTTGGGGTCTTTAAGTTGATGTGCATTTCACTTTATGAAGATTAGATCATGCCTTCAATATATGCCGTGATAAAAATGCAAAATAAAAAGAATAATATCTTAATCTTTCAGTTAAAGACAATCAAACAGTTATGTTATGTTGCAAACAGGGAGTCTGTAAATCGCACGTGATTCTTTCTTTAACAGATCTGTTCCTATTACTGGTGCTCTGCTGCATGGATGGCTTATTACATCAATCACCCTCTCTACACACCGCCATGTATGTAACATCTCACTCAAATGCTCTGCACCATGTTTATTGTCGCTTAAATTATTATGGTATGTTAAATGCATTGAACCGTTGTTCTTAAAGCCAGTCTGTTTACATGCAGATTATGGGGAGAAGCAGGTGAAGGCAGCACTGGGAATCTTTCTAGTAAGCACTTTGATGGCACTGACTTCTGTCATGTGTCATGTATTTGTCTCATCAGCGTTCTTTACTTACTGATTTGTGATTTTTGCAGTTCTGTCAACTTGGCAGCTTCTCGATTCACGTGGCTCTGCGCAATCTCAAACTACCTGGTAAGATCTATAAAAGAAATCACAAATCTCAAGTCAACTACTCTGGCTTTGTTTATATAACGCAGTCAATTGTTCTTTATGAAGGCTGTAAGACGAAGAAGATTCCTTATCCAACCAAAAATCCTTTTACATGGATATTTGCACTTGTTTCATGCCCAAACTACACATATGAGGTGAGACCCATGGCTGATTGCATTGTGAGTGATTCCATGTCTTTATAGAGTTTTGCAGTGATTATGATTATTTTTGTAGGCCGACATTTAAGTTGACATCTGTCTGGTTCTCTTGACAAAAACCCTTTGGGGTTTTCCATTGGCTTTTGGATTACTGCAGAAAATATGCTCAGTGGCCAACAAAAGTTTATGATTCTTACACATTTTGTTCATCATGATAATCCTCACAAATGAAAACAGATGTTATAAATTTTAAAGCCTAAATACAGTCGGCAGAAGTAAAAAAGCTGAATGTAGGCTATAAACGAACTGCAGCATGGGCATATTTCACCCAAAAATGAACATTTGGTGGAAATGTACTCACCCTCAAGCCATCCATGATGTAGATGAGTTTGTTTCTTCATCGGAACAGATTTGGATAATTTTATCATTACATCACTTGCTCACCTGTGCAGTGAATGGGTGCCGTCAGAATGAAAGTCCAAACAGCTGATAAAAACAAATTATTTGTCTTTATTTAAAACAACATTTTCCCTGAAAGTTTAAGTTATAATAGTTTGAAAGAGTGTGATTATAAACACAGTGAGGCTGTAAAAGTGTACTAGTATTTACCTGTTCGGTGTGATGATGTTTAAAGGTGCTGTACGTAATTTTTTGACAGTACTGAAGCATAAAAAATAGGCGACACTGTTTGCAGATATTAAAGAAACATTAGTTTGCTACTTGTTTCCCCGAAAAACAACGTTACAGCCAGTTGATCTATTTTGAAATGTGTGTTCCATGTCGGAATGGCCAGTTTTGTTTTGATCTGTGTGATCCCGCCCACTTCTAATATACCCAATAGTATTTCGACACCCCGGGTTGCCGTTTGGCTGAAAACACAATGCTTTGCAGTCAGTGGAAGCCAGTAAACTAACTGGGTCAGAGATTGCAGATTCTACCTAACCTAAAAAAAATATTCATTACCTGTTGTGCATGTGTTCTCAATCTGGCAACCCTCGTGAGTGTGGAGTCTGAGGAGGAGGGAGCGGGAGAAACAATATTTTGAATTTGGACTGCGGTACCCATTTCAACCACTAACTGTCAATGTTACATACTGCAAAGGCAGCCTCTGTAGTCCCAGTTATCCATTTGTTAGCAACTGCCAAGAAAATGTATAAATAAAAATAAATAAATAAAATAAAGACAAGTAAACGCTTAAAAAAACCACAAGGGGGTTTTACTGGTGTATTTTATGTCATGGAATAAAACGTGGAAATAAGCTTGTGTGAACCACATACCTTATTTCAGGTATTTCACCAAAAAAAACCTTAGACTTTGGACAATGGAACCAGAAGAGCTAAAATTCTAACTCATTTCCAGATTTTGGCCTACAAAAATATGTCATCCCTGCAGTACTCTAAAGATCTCCTTGACAATAATGTGTCCCATGTGAACTGGTCCTGTAATGAAATCCTGACCCCTGCTGGTCTCATTGAGTATAGGCCTAAATAACAGACACTAAAGCTGCACTGTTGCTGTATTTCTGTAGATGGGATCCTGGCTCGGTTTCACACTCATGACCCAGTGTGTCCCTGTGTTGTTCTTCACTGTGGTGGGATTCATACAGATGACGGTTTGGGCCAAAGGAAAGCATCGCAGCTACCTGAAGGAGTTCAAACAGTATCCCACACTGCGCTCCCCTATCCTACCTTTCATCCTATAGCAGGAAGATACAACACTAAAAATAACATATACAGAGTTTTTTTTTTCCAATCAAATACAAGTCAGAGCTTTGCTTTCACTGTGGTGGGATTCATACAGATGACGGTTTGGGCCAAAGGAAAGCATCGCAGCTACCTGAAGGAGTTCAAACAGTATCCCACACTGCGCTCCCCTATCCTACCTTTCATCCTATAGCAGGAAGATACAACACTAAAAATAAGATATACAGAGGTTTTTTTTTCCAATCAAATACAAGTCAGAGCTTTGCTAGCTTACATATATAAAGTCTTATATATATATATATCAATGTATGAAATAAATAGTACATTTTGAGATACTGTAATATTGTATTTGTCAAGTAAAGCCATTCTATTTTAATTACAAATAAAAAATATGCAGTATATTGTATTGTTTGTATACATGAATACAGAAAATTGTGCAAAATTATGGAAATAAAAAGAATGAATTAGCAGACCACAACCTAGAAATAAAAAGTGACTCTTTTTGTCTGAGAGCTTCAGTCTTTATGAGATGTGACTAAAGCAATGATGTGAATTGAAGGGCAAATCTGTTCCTTTATTTTGAGGTAAATATAACACACTTAATTCCTTCTTCGAGGTGAGACTGAAGCAAATTAATTTGTATGTAGCCGATATCCATCACCTATCAATCACTTCCGGGTTGTGTTATATTTTGCGTTAGAAATTAAGTCTGGTATTCATTCTTGCCGAATAAAAGTTTTCATTTCTTTCTTTCAAAAAAAAAAAATTCTTTTTTGAATCACAATCAACTATGTTTCTATCTCACTATGAATGCCAATATGAATGCTTCTCTCAGAGTAAATGTACTGGCTGTGCAGTGCTGGAATCAAAGCATCAATAACTCACTCCATATCTCTGCTTGGCAGGCAAAAATCAGAAAAGACTGATGCCACAAATGCAATTTCAGATTCTGAAACTGGAATTTATTTCCTAACTTTGCATGTCCATTTTAAGACTGCTGTAAAACATCGCTGAACATCGTACATTTAATTGGACAAGAACAATGTTTATATAATATTGCGACACTGTAAATCATACCTGACAAAAACGGAAGGACAAAACACTGGTGAATGAAAAGCTCCACCGTAGAAAAAAATAACACTTTTACTAAGACGAATGGTCCCGTCAGCCCTGCGACGGATGGATAGAAGGACGCCGACAGAACAGAAGAACAGACTGCAGGGCTGAATCATGCGGCATGTCCTCACACGGAAGAAGAGAAGAGAAGCTGAGGAGGATTGTGCAAATCAAGTCTTAAAGAGTGAACGTTTCCCCTCATTTCGTGGCCAGCGCAGGAGAATTTCCGTCTTGTTTTCGCTGAAAACACAAGCACTATGAGAAGAGACGGCTGTCGTCCTGAAAGTGGCTTCTCTGCAGCACCTTCACATGATTCTCATAGATTTTAAGTGCAGGGCCGAGTCTGATCGACAGACCAGTCAACACGTCACTGCGCTGCATCAGCAGTAGGGACTTCCCATCTATTTCCTGTTGGACGTGAAGATACAAAGGTGTCAATACTTTTACTCAGCAAGGACACAGAAAATTGATCAAAAGTGACAGTAAAGGTATTTATAATGTTACAAAAGATTTCAGATCAATGCTGTTCTTTTGTACTTTCTATTCATCAAATAGTCCTGGGGGGAAAAAAGTGTCACCGTTTCCACAAAAATATAAAGCAGCACAATTGTTTTCATCACTGATAATAATTGCTTTAGTAGCAAGTCATCATATTCGAATGATTTCTGAAGGATCATGTGACACTGAAGACTGGAGTAATGATGCTGAAAATACAGCTTCGACCTCAATAGATTACATAATAAAATATATTACAACATAAAACAGTAAGCATAAGATTGTAGACTTGTTTAGATTTTAAATTTCCTTAGCCAACTTATTCACATAATTACGGCCATATGATTGTAAGTAATATCTATTGAAGTTTGTTTAAAGTCGCCATATAACTCGTACTGATCCTTTTTTTTTTCTTCTTTTAGTCAAACAAGCTCTATTTCTAAAAACTACTCTAGCTCAAGAAGTTGGATTTTCTTGGGTTTTTTTTGGGGGGGCGGGGAAATGTTCAGGATAAAGTAATGATTTCATTATCATAATGTGTACTGTTGTTTTTAATTCCCAGTATTGTATTCCTATTGTTGTTATTCAATGGCGACTCTGGACAGAGGAAAGTTTTTTTTTATTACAGTGTTCCTGCACCTTTAAAAAAAAATAAAAACATTTCCTGAAATTGCACTTACAAAGTAAATGAATATTTTAGAGCTGAGCATAGCTAGAAAAATAAATATTCACTACAGAATTTCATTCATTTCATTCATTTAGATTAACTTTACCTGGCCTGGAAATAACAATTTTAAATGGTTTTTCCAAAGCCATGGGAAGCCTAAACTCAGCACAAGTTAAAGAAATGTCCTGCACATTATCTTTGGCATGAAAATAACATATTTTGCATTGTAAAATTAAGGTTTCATTTTTGCTAGGCAAACACATTTTTTCCATGTATTTCTTTAGGCTTTGGGTTCAAATGAAAAAAATCACTGCGCTCAACCAACAGTTTGGGTGCATAGATCAATAAAAATCTTTGCAAGATCCGCACTCACTAGTTTACTTCCTAATCATTTGTCGATTTTTTTTATTATACAAAAAGCACAAAAATGGATCAGTAGACTTTGGGTTAAAATATGCTCTTGACAGGTTTGGTTTACTACAGTACTAACCTGTGTTCTGAAAGCCAGCGCCTGCTCAGGGAAGCCCACAGACGTGAAGTAACTGGCCACATCAGCCACGCTCCAAAGCAAAGGGTCCTGCCCGATTTCTTTCTTTACCACATCACTGAGAATGACCAAAAACAGATTAAAGCCTCATAGTTTATGAGCAACTCATTCCCGACTTTTACATGTCACAACAACAATACATAATCCAATGGTGTGAGTTTGACGGCACATTGCAAAGTGTTTGATAACATTGCACTTACTCCGTATGATGCCACAGAAATGACACACTAAGTTTAAGTCTCTTTATTACCAAAGACACAAAGAAAATGTTGGCTTTTACTCACTTTCCAATATTCATCCCTCCATTGTTAACAGTTTCTTCCTCTGTTGTGCTCTTAGTGCACATTTCACCTGAGAAAGCACAGGTTCGGGAAAAAAAATGTAACATCCAATGAGTTGACAGATACGGTGTGAAATTTAAAGAGCACGGGCAGAATCCTCACCCTCCTCAACAGGATCAGGCCCTCCGTCTGACTTCAGCGCCTCGTCCTGATGACAGACAGACACAATATGACGCAGAGGAACAGGACAGATGTGCTGTGATTGGAGGCGCAGGGCGGACATGCTTACCGGCGTGGCTGTGCAGTGTGACAGCAGCGGATCCTCGACGTGAAGAGTGGAGAGACAGATGGCCGCTGGCTGCTGCACGAGCGCCACAGATCCTGTGGGTTACAACGACAGACACTGCCAACTCAAATCTCTTACACATTTAACCTTGGCTTCTTCTGATGGAGGTCTGTCACTCTCAACAATTATTCAACTATCCAACTCCTTGACAGGCAATGCAATGCCTGAATTTGGCAGAAAATGAACGAAATAAGGACAGGAATTGTAACAGACTGATGGGTGCAAACACTTTACCCAGTCAAAATGTGTGCTTGTATGTTTGTCTCTTTAGGCTTACCTTTCTAACAAATTCAGTGAGAAAAAGATGTATATTCAAGAAAGACGGATTGTTCTGCCTCCACTTGATTATTTTATTAGTCACTTAAGTGTAGGAGAGCTCAAAAAAAAAAAAAGGTTACACAATCATCTTGGAACATCTGCGACAGGGATAAAATAAGTTATGCTTATTTATAAATAAATATAGATAAATAAAAGTTGGCCACTTTTAAATATTTTGCAATATTTTACATTTTTCTATACTGCAAAAACATCCATACTTTTAAATGACCCTTTGGACAGACGCAATTTGCCATTCTTAAGATCAAAAGAATTAATGCAAATTCAGCAATTTGTTGCATTGTTTGTGAATGCTTGCATTTTTCTTTCTGGTTTAGTTTGGTTTATTTTGACGCTTTAATTTTTTTTGTTCTGTTTTTGGTTATGCTCAACCAAGGCTGCGTGTTGGAATGTGAGTGCATGCAATAAAAAAAATGTTTTTATCATTCATCAGCAGGAAAAAAATTGTTCTGAAAGTGATTCCAACGATATCGTTTCTCTGTGCCTTTATCGTTATAGCTGTGGTGTGGACTCTGCTATTCTTTAATACTGCACTATATCTTTATCGTTGTTTTTATAGTTATCGTCCTTGATGTGAACAGGCCTTACGTGAAGTTTCACAAGACTTGCTCTTTAACTAATCTTGAACTCATTTATTTTAATTACTATCTCTATTTAAATGCTGGTTAGTTTGGCATTTTATCTTGAGAAGTTAATTTAAAAAAATGACCAACAGGACTTGGGTACCTGTGTCTTGCTGGGCTTCTGGCTGTATGTGCTCAGGTAGGATGCAAGCGCTGTCGGTGTCCTGCCTCAGAGCATCATGGGTAGGAGAGTTCTTTAAGGACGCGGGTGAGGGAACAGGCTGACTGGTGTTACTGCTGGTGATGGGACTCATGCTGATGCCCGAGTCAGCGGTGCTCCGAGCGCACATGGCATCCAGACTGCTCTCATCCCCCTCCTCGTCCATGCTGCTGTCCATTCCCGCTGTCGTGGACATCTCGTCCTAAAAAGATTGCATTATTATTATTATTATTATTATCATGATCACTGCCAGTACTGCATAGAAACGAATGCAACATGAGGATTCAACAAAATGCCTCACGTGTGCCATTTGAAACAGTGTTTTCTACCGTTTCTATGGAACTTTATATAAATTATCTAATAAAAGTAGATACACTACACTTTTATTCATCAGGGATGCATTAAATTGATCAAAAGTGACAGCAAAGATTTCAATTTCAAATAAACGCTTTAACCTTTTAACCTTCTATTTATCAAAGAATCCTCAAA